AAAAAAAAAAAAAAAAAAAAAAAACTCGGAAGACTGCCTGGGTGAGTGTGAGACTGCCTACATAATTTACTCACCAACTTTTATCCTATTTAAATATCAGTATATCATATTCATTAAATAAATATATTGTAAACACCATCACTCTGTAGAGTTCTAGATCAGGAACTGAAGAGGAATTATCAGCAGTAGTCCTTAAAGTCCTGAGGGAAGCTGGGTGTTTCTCAGACTTTCAAGTGAGGCAGAGGCTAAACTGATAATAACTTAGAAACTATCTGCCTTTTTTTGACTGTGTTTGCATTTATACTTAGGATGCAAAAGCAAAGTTGAGGTAAAACTACTGATAGCACAATTTAAAGTAACAGCATCACACTGCACTAGTAAGCATTTACATTCTTCACCATAATGTGCTCCCAGTTAAAAAAAAAGCCAGCAGGGGGCAGTCTAGTTTATTTAAGAATGTGCTCAAAAAGTAAAAATTACTAATTTTATTAAATCTTCACTTGTGAGCTCACATCTCTTCCCTATTCTGCTCAACAAATAGAAATTATGCACAAGCACTCACTCCTGTCCCACAGGGAAGTAGGATGGTGTTTACAAATGCCTGGCCACCAAGCTCTAAGTCAAGCTAGATGAGCCACTTCTTTTCACAAGGAATATTACTTTTACTTGAAAGAATGACTGACAAACTATATGGTTATTCAGATCTAAGCATTTGACAGACATGTTCTCAAAACTTAAGTGAGCCTTGCTGGGCATGGTGGTGCACTCCTGTAGGCCCAGCACTCAGGAGGCTGAAGCAGAAAGACTACAAGTTCAAGGCCAGCCTGGGCTACGTAATGAGTTCAAGGCCAGCCTGAACTACACAGTGAGACCTTTACTATAAATCTGGCTAAAAGCATCCAGCAGTACCCATGCCACAGCCTGAGCACTGGGCTGCCTTGAAATTTCCTCCACTAGATTAATTAGTCCAGTACCCTTAATCTCAGTTTCCTGCAAAGTCTCAGGTCATGGGCAAAGTGAAGACATACTTTTTACCAGGGTGTAGCATACATGACTTCTAATCCAACTTCTAATCCAACTGCCAATGGAGTACCTGTCTCCAACTGAAACCACCTGAGCTCAGCCTTTACTGTGTACATTTCTATCAGCCTTCTGTTCTTCTGAGCTTTGACCAGAATTTCTCATCAATTTTACTTACTCTGGTTATAGCATTCTCCACATTCCTCCTGCATCCACTTCCAAAGGCTTTTGGACCACGTGGTCAAGTATACTCATAACAATGACCCCACTCTTGTACACAATATCTGTCTTAGCCAGTATCCCATCATTAGACAAAATACCCAAAACCCACAACTTAAAGAAAGAGAAGTTTGTTTTGGCTCACTATTTCAGTCCATAGTAGGCTGGCTCCAAGCAGAAATAAAATGGCAGAGGGGCATGGAGAAGAAAACGTGCTCGGCCATGGTAGTCAGGAAGCAGAGAGAGGAAAGGAAGAGCTGGGGAGGGAGATATGCCCTTCCAGGTCATACCCTCAGTGACCTACCCCTTCAACCAGTCCCCACCACCTAATAGCACATTTAGCTATGAAAATTCATCAGAGGTATCCACTGATGAGTATAGTGCCCTTGTGATCCAATCACACATGAAAATTTTGGGGGACAGTTTAGATCTAAGCCATAACCCTGGGCAACTTAGCCAAATCCTATCTCAAAGTAAAAAATATATAAAAGAATGGGGATATAACTCAGTACAAAGGCTTTGGGTTCAATCCTCAATACAGAGAGAAAAAATGAAAGTAACCCACATATACAGAAGCTCTTTGAAGTCCTCGAATCTTTTTTAAATAGGAGAAGGCTTCTGAGAAGAGCCACTGGTTTATAGTATAAAACCACAAATAATAACCCAAGGTAGAATGTGATGACTCTGTTTTTGGATATTCCAGGTCTTCCTAAATTGGACCAATACTACCTGAAATTATTTTGTCTCACTATCAATACAATCAAAATAAATTCACTAAATAGATTCATTCATAGGAAAATGGATACATATTGAAGATATACTCCTAAGTGAAATAAATAAGTCACACATGTGTAAATACCGAATAGTTTCCCTGGTGTGAATAATCTGCAACAATACATAAGATTCTAATAAGATTACTGACATTTAGAAATGGGAAGAAAGGAGCTAAAGGTGTAGGGAAGGTGGGATGGGTAGGGGAAGAGTAAAAAGGGAAAATAAAAAAATGTGAGATAATGAAAAGAAAATAAAGTGTTTGTAGATGGGGAGGGGAGGAAGGGGTGAAGGGAGGGCAGAGGTAAGGGGAAAAAATGAGAATCAAGACTTGTCATGTACAGGTACAAGATCCCAACAATGAATGTAACTGTACTGTATCCCTAAAATGTACCAATAAACTCAATTAAAGCTGAAAAAAAAAACAAAAACAAAAACAAATTCACTAGCAAGCATTAAAAAGGCCCAAAGAGTACCAAGATGTGTTAAAGCAATTTGAATTGGTGGGGTTTTTTTCTTTGTTTTCCAAGTAAGTGACCTGAATTAAAATAGCTTTTGTTTCCCTAGTATAAACTGAATCAGCCTTTAAGGAAAACTGTATCACAAATGACACAATCACCATATACAATTCTCTTGAGAATGAATCGCACACAATCAAATGGAAACCTACAGAATGTGGTTCCCTGTCTCTCAACAATATAGTATAAAAAAACTTGAAATCCTACAATGGTCTTAAGGATTAGGACAAAAAATATGTCATTTTTTTAAAGTACTTAATGCCATTTCCCAGAAAGGAAAACTGGGGGGAAAGAAACTCAATTTGCACTGTATTCCTTTTTATACTGTTTGACTTTTTAACTATGTGTATGCAATACCTATTCAAAATTAGATATTAAGATACCATTTCCACACCACTCATTTCTCTAGTATTTTGTCTCATTCCAAAAAATATGAGTAGATATATGAATCACTGGATGCACATTTGTCACATTAACAATGGACACACATCTCATACCCGACAGAAATGTCAAGAGAAAGCTGTCAATCAGCCTGGAATTGATCAGCCATTGGTTACCTGAAGGAGTTATCACTGGAGAATCTAGTGATGCCATCTATCTGCCCAACATAGCTGATACAGTTGCTCCTTCATTAGTAGTTCTTTTCCTTTTTATATTTATCACAGCATTTGCTTTAAGAAATATTCTCTGAGCTGGGCGTGGTGGCGCATGCCTGTAATCCCAGCACTTGGGAGACTGAGACAGGAGGATCGCTGTGAGTTTGAGACCAGCCTGGGCTACATAGTGAGTTCCAGGGCACTCTCAACTACATAGTGAGACCCTGTCTCAAAAAACAAAACAAAACAAAAAAGAAATATTCTCTGAAGCACAATAGGTAAGTTTGTTTCCTTAAACCACACAGCAACACTAAATTCAGCATGTACCTAACTTGTAATATCCACCAGGTACTAAGACTTAATAATAATGTAACACTTGTAACCTGTGTCAAAGTGCACTTATATCTAAATACATAACAACACAATATAGTCTGCCCCACGTGAATTTTCTTTCTTTCTTTCTTTCTTTCTTTCTTTCTTTCTTTTTTTTTTTTCAGTACTGGGGACTGAACTCGGGCCCTTGTACTTGCAAGGCAGGCCACTGAACCGCTGAGCTAAATCCCCGGCCCCACGTGAATTTTCTTTATATTTTCACAAATCAATGATAAAAGCATTATTACGTTATGTCTTTAAATTGGGGCTCAGAAAGGTTAATTAGCATGCCTATGGTTACAAAGCCAGGAGGGGGCAGTATCAGGATTTAATCCCAGAGCTAGTAGTGGGTTGAAAGGTTGTGGGGCGCTTAATCTTGATCATCAATTTGACAGGACTGAGAGATACCTAGATTAGTAAAGTACACTTCCAGAATTTAGGCCAGGAGCGTGACCTTGGCAACTATTTTCTTCCTGGCCCCTTTCTCTATGGCTCTTCCATCACTCTCTGTCTTCCAGCCACCATGAGGTCAGTAGCTTTCTTCTGCATGCTCTTTCCATGATGTTTCTGCCTCAGAGCCAGCCAATCATAGGTTAAAACCTCTGAAATTGTGAACCACAATAAACCCTTTCTCCCGTAAATCGTATGTGTCAGGTATTTTGTTTCCAGCAACAAAAAGCTAACTAATAATAATAAAGGTAGCTACCTAAAAAGATATGTCCATGTCCTAACCACTAGAATTTGTGAATGTTACATTATTTGGGAAAAGGATCTTTGAAGATGTATCTAAATTAAGGATCTTGAGAAAATATTACCTTAAAGTATGTGGGTGTGTCCTAAATCCAATGACAAGTATCCATATAAGCATGAGACAGATGGCGATTAAATAGTAGTAGACGATATGATCACGTGGATAGACACTGGAGTGATGTAGTCACAAGTCAAAAAATGCCACCAGAAGCTAGAAGAGGCAAAGAGCAGATTCTCCCCTAGAGCCCTGCAGACACCTTGATTCTGGATACCTGGTCTCTAGCTCTGCAAGAGAATAAATTTATGTTGTTTTAAATCAGTAAGTTTCTTTAATGTTACGGCAGCTCTAGAAAACTTTAATTTTTTTTTTTTTTGTACCGGGGATCGAACTTGGGACCTGGCACTTGTGAGGCAGGCAGGAGCACCACTGAGCTAAATCCCTGGATCTCTAGAAAACTTATATAACCCCCAAACTTTATCTTCCCAGCACACCCCCCTTCCAAAAAGACAAAGGATGTAAGGATATTTAAAATAGAGAAAACTCAGATGATTTTATAATGAAAATGGAAACTATACTGGCTTTGGAAAGCAATGGATCAGTAGATAAAAGTTCCAAGGAAAAATTTCAGTGGAAATGAAACTATCTAAATGTCTTAAAAACTAACCAATCTTCTAAAAGCTAAATAAGTTTGTTATTATTAGATATGTTCAAGGACAGACTGATGACCTTATAACTTTAGGAAATACAGCTGGCATAGGATGGCTTAGAATCTCTTTCCCCCATAAGTTTATAAAATTATAAAAATGTTAGATGGTACTTTAAAGCCAACCAGTAAGGTAATGTATTACAAGTGAGTTTTTTGAGGTTTCTACAGTAATTCAAATAATTCTGACAGCTTGTTATGTGTTAGGCAATCCCATTTGCTGTCAGTGCTTGAGAATATATATTATTCACTCCTGGCCAAGAGAGATATGGATCAACTCATGTGCAACAAATGCAAAATTGCACAAATGAGCACACAGGATGAGGAAAATATTCAAAACTAAGAGAGACTGAATAAAATCTTCCAAAGTTATCCTTAAGCAGAAACCCAAAGATTTGTAAGATTTTCTTCCAGACAGACAGGGAAGAAAAAGCTTTCTGGACAGAAGGAAACACGGTTAGGGAAACATGATTGGTACAAATAGAGTTCAAAAAAGTCAATATGGTCACATTCAGGTGCTGTCTTCATCCTAAATTCAATAAGAACACAATCAGACTTGTATATTTAGAAAATATCAATTCATCTTGGCTGCGCTGAGAAAGGACTAGTGCTGGGCTGGCATGGATGTAAGCAGATCATTACAAAGCACTGCAACAGTCCAGGAATCAAAAAAAAAAAAAAAAAAAAAAAAAAATTAAAACAAAAACGCTAGAAAAAAAAAAAAAAAAAAAAAAAAAAAAAAAAGCAATTTAGACAAAAATGGTACTAGTACAAATGAACAATTAAGCTTATCTAGAAGGTTAAATAGGAATTGAAGACATGGAAAGACAAAGGGTCTCTGGGTATGAGAAACCAGATGAAATGGCACTATTTATTCATTGAGGTAAGGAAGAATAAAACAGGACCAAGTTTGAAAAGGGAAATTCATTTTGGAATATAGCGTATCACAAACAGGTACCCTAGAATTAGGCAGCAGAATTCTGAATCTCACCAATGGTCAAATCTGAATATACTTATTTACATGGAACAGCTGAACAATCTTTTATCTGAAAGGGAAAACAGCTGGGTGTGGTGGCGCATGCCTGTAATCCTAGCACTCAGGAGGCTGAGACAGGAGGACTACAGTGGGTTTTTTGGATCACTTGTTAAATTTTATACACTATTTTTACTGTACTTTTTCTGTTTGGATATGCTTAGATACACAAATGCTTACCATTATACTACAGTTGCCTACAGTACACTGTACAGTAACGTGCCATATATAGGCATGTAGCTTAGGAACAATACAAACAGCATACAGCTTAGGTGTCAAGTAAGCTACATTGAGATTAGCCTAAGCACAATGCGTGATCCTCCCCCGAAAAAATCACCTACACATTTCTCAGAATGTATCCTTATTGTCATGCAATCCATGACTGTACTTAGATGAAAAATGACTTTACTTCAGATATTAATTGCAGTAACTAAGGAACTATTTACCCTAAGTATGTTTACCATTTTGTACAAAAAGTAAAAACAGCCATGCATGGTGGTGCACACCTGTAATCCCAGCACTTGAGGCTGAAGCAGGAGGATCACCATGAGTTTGAGTCAGGGCTGGACTACATAGTAAGTTCAAGGCCAGACTGAGTTACATACTGAGACCCTGTCTCAAATAAATAAATTTTAAAGCATTTGAAAAATAAAAGTAAATCAACTTTTAGAGGGATTAAAGACAAAACTAAACAAGTAGGCAGGAAAATTGGGTTACATTACTAACTCTAAAAAGAATTCTGCTGCCAGGCATGGTGGTGCACGTCTACAATTCCAGCACTGAAGATTACAGCGAATTTGAGTCCTGGGCTACAGTGAGTTCACGGCCAGCCTGAACTATACAGACTCTGTCTGAAAAAACAAAACAAATCTTTTTAGATAAAATAAAGTCTGGAAGACCAGTTAATCTTTATGCAACATTGGAAATATATATATTTTTTATATACATATATTTCACTGAAGAATATAAATAGATTATATGGTATTCTACAGAAATATAAATGTTTCTATTTTATATACTTAATCTTTTGAAGTCCCAAGAGACAAATATTTTTTGGGGGGGGCAAAACATTTATTGGTACATTTTTAGATATAAGTAACAATCATAGGGAATTTGCACCTGTACATGACACTTTCTTTTCCCATCCCTCCCTTCAACCCCTCTTCCCCTCTTTATTTACAAAGGATTTGTTTCCATTTTTTCCTTCTTTTTTTCTTGTTTTTTCTTCCCACCTTGTCCCCCCTTCTCATTTGAACATTTTCTTCCCATTTTCCAATATCTATTACACATTTAAACCTTATTTCCACTTTTGGTTTCACACAACCAGAAAAACAATTTTAGTATATGTGCTGCTGAAGCAAGCACAGCAGAGAAACAATGTGGTATTTAAATATGTATTTCCAATTTATTTCATAGAAGAGTATGGTCTCAAGGTATATTCATTTAGCTCATTCTTCTTTATGGCATAGTAGTACTCCACTGTGTTTAAAAAAATCACATCTTCTTTATCCATTCATCTGTTGATGGGTACTTGAGCTGTTTCCAAATTTTAGCTATTACAAACTGTGACACTATAAACATGGGTCTGCATATATCACTGTGGCATGATCCTTTTAATTCTTTTGGTAAGATAAAATGAAATGGAACAGCTGGGTTGAATGGAAACTCTAGTTTCAGTTTTTTGAGGAACCTCCACACCGATTTCAGACAGTAGTTGCACCAGTCTACACTCCCACCAACAGCAGAGAAGGGTTCCTTTTGCCCTACATTTGTTATTGATCCAGCATTTGTTTTTGTTTTGTTTTGTTTTTTTGACAGGGTCTCACAATGTAGTTGAGACTGACCTGGAACTCACTACGTAGCCCAGGCTGGTCTCGAACTCACAGCGATCCTCCTGCCTCAGCCTTGCGAGTGCTGGGATTACAGGCGTCCACCACCATGCCCGGCCAGCATTTGTTATTGATTTCTTGACAGTAGCCATTCTTTCTGGAGATGGACTCTCAATCTTGTTTTAATTTGCATCTCTCAAATGATCAGTGATGTTGAGCATTTTTTCATATATTTATTTGCTGTTTCTATTTTTTCATATGAGAAATGTCTATTCATTTCAGACGCTCATTTTTGGATTGGTCTTTAAATTTGGGGATTTTTTTTCAGTTCTTCATATATTTTAGACAGAAGACAAATCTTTTTTAATGAAGTTATTTTTAACACTACCGTTATTACATTCTTGCTCTTACTAATATTTAATTTGCTATTAATGGGAATAACTCAAAAGGTCCCCAGATAAAATAAAAGACCAATAACACAACACTCACTTCAGGAATTATCCTGTATACAGGAATCTGTGCTCAGGAACCATGATGTCAGAGTGGACAAAAAGCAAGATAATATGTGAATGAAATTGAGGTTAACCAGACTTAGCTTTCATTTTTCCCTACGGAAAAATGGGCAAGCCCTCCCACCCTTACTCCAAGTTACCCTTGCATGAGCAAAACCAGAGCATGGAACAGATAGTGAGCATTCCCTGGAATAAATAGCTATTTGAAAAGAAAATTTTAAATTTCATTAAAATAAGTGTATTTGTAGTTATCCCATTAAGAATGTTTTAAGGCCGAGCATGGTGGCACATGTCTGTAATCCCAGCACTTGGGAGGCTCAGGCAGGAGGATCACCACAAGTTCAAGGCTAACCTGGACTACACAGCGAGTTCAAGCCCAGTCTGACATAGCAGACCTTGTCTCAAAAAACCAAAAACAGACAAATGTGGTGGCACATGCCTGTAATCTCAGAACTCCAGAGCTGAGCCAGGAGGTTCACCATGAATTCAAGGCCAGCCTGGACTACATAGTGAGACCCTATCTCCAAAAAAAAGCTTTAAGACAAAAATAAATGGATTATATAAAATACAGTGTAGACATTTTGGTTAAAAAATATAAATATTATTCTATTTTATAATGTACAGTATGTCTGTTACTTCATGTACAAGTTCATGTGTGTTTGGGAAAAATATTTATAAATTATACATAAGGGGTGATCAAAATATACTGAATGCTTACATTTTAAAAATTACAGTAAAAAGGGCCAGAGATATAGCTCAGCAGGGCTGCACCTGCCTGGAAAGCACAAGATCCTGAGTTCAATTCTTATACTAGAGGAGGAAAAAAGACCCAAAATTTACTACAGTAAAAGATACACGTATTAATGTCCCCCAAGACTTCTCCTTGCTTTGAACACACTCATCTCATCCCTTTCTCTTTCCCCTTCTAGAGTAGTTCTGTGAATCCTCTTTCATTTCTTTATGGAGTGATCGAAAACATGGTGAAAGCTGGCAAGTACCATTGAATAGAAAAGCTAGTTCATAAAAGCATTAGTGTAACCTTTTAGCCAGAATTGCCATCTTCTAGTAATTTGAACAAAAAGGGAGAGAAGATAAGAACCTGGTATGTTCTGTAGGCCTTTATTTATTTATTTATTTTTTATTTATATGTAGCCCAGGCTGGTCTCGAACTCACAGCAATCCTCCTGCCTCAGCCTCCCAAGTGCTGGGATTACAGGAGTGTACCACCACACCTGGCGTGTAGGCCTTTTAGAAAACATGAGATTGTTCCTGTGGCCACATTTATGCTGATCTACAAAAAGATGATAATGGAGACATCAAGGGAATAGGTACTGTTCAAAAAGAAATGCCAAATAAATGTTACCACAGCAAAACTGGAAGAAATTACAATGTTACCCAGCATGCTGTTGGCAATTCTTAAGTTACAAGCAAGATACAGGGCAATAGAATTAATGTGTAAATTACTAAGCACTTGAGAAAAATGACCAGAAAAAAAGGAAGATAAAAAGAAACGTACCTTGGGTTCAAGTGAAGCACCAGCCTGCCCTGCCCAGAGAACCACACTATGTGAGAAACCATGGCAAGGAGCCTGAGCTGCAGGAGGAATCTGTTCCCTATGAATTCATGGCATAAACTGGGGGTGTTGTTCTGCCATTCAGCACCTAACTGACATCTAAGGTGTTCCAAGGCCCTGCCTAAAAATAAAAAATCATCCTGAGTTGTAAGGATGGTTTTCTTAATCGAACAGAGTTTTGTGCTCTTACCTCAGAGAAACAAATATTTGGAGCAGATTCTCATTACACATAGTTCTATCAGGTCTTTACTCTTCAGTGTTTTTCTTGCTGAAAGATATGAGGTATTGTACAGGTGTACACCCAAATGGCCAAATATGTGATGGCTTGAAGATCTGCTAAATTACCATGGGAAAAAGATGTTATCAAAATAAATGGAAGATAGTATAAAACATTACCATTAGTTTAAAGCACATGCATGCATGTACACACACACACACACACACACACACACACACACACACACACACTACAGTGTACCCTCACCCTCATTTACCAGATCTGGCACCATGAGGTATCTGGCTCTTCCCCAACAGTCAAAATGAAAACGAAAGGTAAGGTTTCATTTGAACTGATTCAGGACACTGAAGCAGCCACAACAGCACAACTAACGACACTTTAAAAAAGAACTTTTAAAATTGCTTCAGAAGTGGCAAGAATGATATGATAAATGTGTTTAAAGCAAGGGGCAGTTTTATGAGGTAGATTAATGGCAATGTGTCGTTTACTATAACATTTAAAATTTTTAAATATTCATATTTTTATCACACCTCATATATTACATATGGCAGAATTATGATTACTTTTTCTTTTGCTTTCCTACAATGAACACACATCATATGTCTTCTTACATTAAGGAGAAAATATATTTACTAACATAACACAGACTCAGAATTAATTTTAAAAATAATTTTTATTTAGATGAAACTTCAGAGCCCAAAATTAAAGAAGGAAAAATGTTTAACATTCAGTCACCTAACTGGGATATATCAGGGTCATTTCTTGCTTATAGTTAGGACCAGAAGCAAGTTTTGAGTCAAAATGCTAGTTGTGCCAGGCAAAGTGGTACACACCTGTAATCCCAGCACTCAGGTGGATAAGGGTCATGAGTTCAAGAAAGCCTCAGGTACACAGTGAATCCAAAGCCAGCTTACTCTATATGGTGAAAAACTGTCTCAAAAAAACAAAAGATGGGCAGGGAATTTAGCTCAGTGGTTCTGACACCTGCCTTGCGAGCGCAAGGTCCAAGTTCGATCCCTGGTACAAAAAAAAAAAAAAAGATGTAGCTATATGACAGAGCTCCTGTGTAGCAGATCCCTTGGCTGGTTTTTTTATTTGTGGACTATTTGGTGTGTTTTCTTTTTAATTTTGTTGTTACTGCTTTTGTTTTTTCCAGTTCTGGGATGGAACCCAAGGCCTCAAATAAACTAGATAAGTGCTAACCACTAAGTTACAACCCAGCCCAGATATACTATTTTTTTATAGATGATCTATTACCAAAAATTGTATTTCCTAATTGTCTGATGAAAGAAAAAAATAAAAAATGTCCAAAAGAAGAGGCAAAATACTATAGTTCTTTTTGTGGATGAAGTGAATACAAAGATTACATCAACATGGATGAAGGTGGGGAAATTAGGTAAAGTGAAAACAAGACAGGCATAGAAGGACACTGAGGTTCTTGCTCATAAACCATAACCAAGATATTGATCCCACAGAAACAGAGGGCAGAGAGCCGGGCATGGTGGCGCATGCCTGTAATCCCAGCACTCAGGAGGCTGAATGAAGCAGGAGGATTGCTATGAGTTCGAGACCAGCCTGGGCTACATAGTGAGTTCCAGGTCAGTCTCAACTACCTAGTGAGACCCTGACTCAAAAAACAAACAAACAAACAAAAAAGAAATAGAGGGCAGAGGCAGAGCAGTGGTTACTAGAGGCTGAG